ATGTAGAAATTACTACAGAAGAAATCTCATGGGTTTGTGGCTCACATTTATGCTATACAAGCCGTTTCTCCAACAGTATCTAATATACCTGAAGTGGAGTAGTTGTTGTCCCAATTTGCAACAGTATTCCAAGAACCCAAAAGCTAGCCTCCAGCAAGAAGCCAAGACCACTACATTCCCCTAAAACCAGGTGCAGAACCTCCAAACATACGACCTTATAGGTATCCTTATTTCCAAAAAACTGAGATAGAAAAAAAGGTTAAAGAGATGCTTCATTCCGGGGTCATTCAACCAATTGTCAGTCCTTACTCAGCACATGTTTTGTTAGTTAAAAAGAAGGAAGGAACTTGGCGTATATGTGTTGACTACAGGGTTTTAAATACCATTACTGTGAAGGATAAGTTTTCAATACCTGCAATTGATGAGTTATTAGATGAGCTCTGTGGTGCTTCTTTTTTTTCTAAGCTTGATTTGAGGGCTGGATATCACCAAGTTAGAGTGCATGCCTCTGACATACTAAAAACAGCTTTTAGGACTCACGATGGACACTATGAGTTCGTAGTCATGCCTTTTGGGCTGACAAATGCACCCTCAACTTTTCAAAGTCTCATGAATGAGGTCTTTAAGGAATATTTGAGGAAGTTTATCTTAGTTTTCTTTGATGATATACTGATTTTTAGCAGAACCTTGAATGAGCACTTATCCCATTTACAGTTGACCTTGCAACTCTTATAGAATCACAGCTTGTTTGCTAAAAGGTTTAAGTGTGTCTTTGCCAAACAAGAAGTTGAGAACCTTGGCCACTTGGTCTCCGACAAGGGTGTTTCTGCAAATGCTAGCAAACTTGAGGCCATGACTAATTGGCCAATTCCTAATACCCTCAAATAGTTACGAGGATTCCTTGGTTTAACTGGATATTACAGACGATTTGTGAGGAATTATGGGCAGATTTCAGCTCTATTAAACAATTTGTTGAAAAATGAGTCTTTTCATTGGACTGATGAATCAATATCAGTTTTTCATGCTTTCAGGTCCGCTATGATGACCTTACCAGTCCTGGCTCTCCCTGATTACACCAAATAATTCATTATTGAAACAAATGCTTCAAATAAAGGGTTAGGAGCAGTACTAATGTAGGACGGGCATCCAAGGGTAATATTTGACTTTATCCACCTATGAAAAAGAGTTAATGCCTGTAGTCTTAGCAGTCCTCAAATGGAGGCATTACTTGCTTGGGTGGCATTTCATTATCAAGACTAACCACCAAAGCTTGAAATATCTACTGGAGCAAAGAGTTGCAACCCCCTTTCAGCAAAAATGGATTGCCAAACTACTTGGCTATGATAATGAAATCACCTACAAGCATGGAACATAAAATAAAGTGGCTGATGCGTTATCAAGGAGGGAAGATTTGTTTCATGCCACTGTAAATGCCTTACTGGTAGTAGATTCTACTTGGCTTCCCATAGTTAAACTCAGTTGGAAAACTGACTTGGCATTACAACAGCTTATAACAGAGTTAGTGTAGGGCCCTAACTCTCATTATCTCACCCTTATACTGCTAAGGATGTGGCACAATTATTCCTAGACAATGTTTACAAACTTCATGGCCTTCCAAGCACCATAGTTTCTAATAGAGATGTTGTGTTCACAAGTCTGTTTTGGCAAAAATTGCCTAGAGTTTTGGGAATTGAGCAATGCCTTAGTACAACTTACCATCCACAGTTAGATGGGCAAACTGAAATAGTGAACAAATGTTTGGAAAATTATTTGAGGTGTATGTGTGGTGATTGCCCTAGACAGTGGTTAACTTGGCTGTCCTTGGTAGAGTGTTGGTATAACTCTTCTTATCATTCCTCAATTAAAACAACTCATTTCTATGCAGTTTATAGACAGCCACCACCAGATCACAACTTCATGAACATTGGAGGGTCACTAGTAGCAGTAATGGAAAATTGGGCAAGGGAAAGGACTTCAATTCTGAGAATGCTTAAAGAGAACTTGCAGCAAGCACAAAATATGATGAAACATTATGCAGACAAACAAAGGAGTGAAAGAGAATTTGCAGTTGGTGATTAGGTGTATTTGAGATTACAGCCCTACAAACAATCTTCTTTAGCTTTGCAGCGAAATATGAAGCTATTTCCACGTTTCTATGGACCTTTTCAAGTCATTGCAAAGGTGGGCATGGTAGCCTACACGCTGGATTTGCCTAGCTCTACCAAATTACATCCTGTTTTCTATGTTTCATTGTTAAAGAAAAAGTTGGGACAACAAGTCATTCCTATTCCAACTCTTCCTCCAGTCAGTGATGCAGGAATACTGCAAATGGAACCTGTGGCTGTGTTAGAAAGACGGATGGTCAAACGAAACAACAAGGCAGTAGTGCAATGGTTGGTTCAATGGTCAAGAACATTTCCTGAAGATGCTACCTGGATGGACTATGAAGAATTGAGACAAGGCTTTTTTGAAGGATGAGGAAATGTTATGAACAAGTTAATTGGAAGTTAATTGGAGTCGATTAGGAAGGTTATTCTTGTAATTTCAATTACTGAATCTGTTAGGCAGTTAGGGATTGGTTATGTGTATAAATATATGAGGGAATACACTACCAAAGGCATTCATTGTATTGTTTGTAACCAGTCGCCGGGTTGGAATAAGAGCATCAATAAACTTTTTTCTTTCTATATTTCTTCTTCTTCCATTTCTATTCATTACAAATCCATTGCAAATGAATGTTGATTTGGAGTGGTTTCGAGTGATGATGATGAAAATGGGTGGTGGATGTGAATGAAATAGAGATTATCGCAAGTTGATGAAGAAGCTCCAATAGAACAGAAGATCTTACATGTTGTAAAGTTTTGCAATTAAACTAGACATTGATTCCTCAAATTTTAGCCAAATTTGAGGAATGGACTTACCTGTTCTTCAGAGTTTTGAAACCTGTTGTCTCTAAAACCCAGACCTACTTCTTTCATGAACCCTAAAACTCAAGTTGTCAGTTTAACTTGGTGGGTTTCAATTGAAACCACACCAGGAGCCCTTTTGCTGAATCATATTTATATATAGTTTCTCAAAAAATTTCTTCCAAGTCGCTATAGCCGAGCAATTTACAAGAGGAGAGCTCTGAAACGAGCGACTTTCCCAAACTATGTTTGTTTGGTTTGAGTGATTTTTGAGAGCAACTTTTTTTCCTTGTTAAATATGTTAGAGTCGAATATTGAGGCGCGAATTTGTCTCGAATTTGTTTAATCAGTCGTTTGGTTGGTCGTTCGGTAAAAAGGTTGATAGTCGCAGTCGACAAGGTGACAACCGCAGTAGACAAGTGCTTCACCCGGTCGTCTGGATGGTCGTTCGGCCGATCGATCGGTGACCAAAAATTCGTGCCTGAAGCTCTTGAGGCCTGAAGCATTAGTGAATATGTTATATGATGTGAAACTCACACTATGGGGCAATTTGGGAATATGCTAAAAAATTCAGCTTTTTGGCCTTTTAACTTTTTTACACAAAAAAAAAGTTACCAAAAAGCTAACTTTTTTAGCCAAAAAAGTCACCAAAAAGCTAAAAAATTAGCTTTTTACTAACTTCCCAAAGCACCACTGTATAAGTTTCATCTGATTTCACATTTATTTGAAACATTTAATAAAATATTTGATAAAATATTTAGAATTTCTAGTATTATTATTATTTTGTTAGGTTGGGTTATGATTATTAGAGGACAATAAATAAAATATTATCAAAGAATTTGTTTTTCTTTTTATTTGGTTACCCATATAAAAATTAATGTATACAAATAATTTCTTTTTCCTTTTATTTTTCCTTTTATTTTTCTTTTCCTCATCAAATTTATACCATGTTTGAATTTTGGATTTATATAAATGAAATGTGGGGAAAAAAAAGTTATATAAGTTAGTGTTCCTTTGTTTGGTTCATTTAGTTCGGGTTTGGTAAATATTTTAGACTAAATAATTATATATGGATAAAAAAAAATAAAAAAGCAAAATAATTAAAAAGCCAAAAAGTCAGCAAAAAAGTTTGTCATTCCAAAACCAAAAAACTAAAAAAGTCAAATAAGAATACTAACAAACAAAAAAGTTTCGGGGTAAAAAAAGTTAAAAAATTCAAAAAATCAACTAAAAAAATCGTTACCCAACGAATCCATAGAAAAGTAAGAAACAAATGAATTGGCTATTAAAAATAAAATTTTGTTTGAATACCCATAAAAAAAAAAAAAGAACATTTATAAGTACCATTTCATATTCATTTTTATTTTTTTAATAAATCCAAGATCCAAACCCCGTACACAGTATAAAAGACCGGTAATGTTGGGGACCCCCAGTGGGGGGTGACCCCCAGCACCCCCACCTCCACGTGGGGGCTGTGAAGCAAGACAGGAAAAAAAAAACAAAATTTCAGCTAATGAAAAACCAGTGGGGGTGCTGGGAGTCACTCCCACTGGGGTCCAGATCATTTTCCATATATGACTAACGTGTAACAAAGCAAATGACCCATGATACAACATTGAAGAGGTAGTGGTGTCGGATTGTCGATTGCATACCAACATTAGGATTTGTTTGGAATATGAGTTGACTCTTTAACTATTTTAACTTGGGATTAAAAAACCTCGTTTAGAGTAGACTTTTTGACTTTTTTAACTTTTGTAAAAACAAAAATGAAATGATTATAATTTAAATGTGATGTTTTGTCTTATTAAGTTAAAAGGTCTATTTTATCTTTTTGCGCTTAAAATAACTAAAAAATCAAAAAGTTTGTCATGCCAAACGAGGCTTATTCTTCTATTTCCAAACTATAAAATGGGAGTACCAGATATACCAAAACAAAATAATATACAAAGGAAGATCGGACCGATCAATAACTTCTAAAAAAACGGAAAGTAGTTTCCCAAGTTTGACTGCCTACCCCAGCCATGCCCTTGCTAACAACTTCATGTGTCACCTTAATATGTCATGGCGCAACAAAAGAGAAAAAAAGCACAGAGCAAAGCAAAACTCTTCTTCAGCTCTAACATATCCTGGATGATGACATTGAACTTCTAAAACTCTAAACTCTAAACTCTAAATCCTAAAATGAGAGTACAAGGTAAGCAAAACTCCTCCGCCTTCGTATAATAAACATATACACAATCACTAGCACTCCTCCAGACTTTGGGTCCGATCCTGTTGCATTTCCAAGCATGCGAAGTAGAGCAGCAGCCAAAGCAAGACTCCACTTCCTCAAACAACTCCTTTTATTTCTTCACTAGAGAGACATTCATGCTTTGCTAACAAGAAGACTGAAGCCATAATTCACAACAGAATGAATATTATGAGCACATGAAATTGAAGTTTTGTGGACTTTGTTGTATAATTAAGAAATGGTTGAAGTGCTTATGCGGACATAATCTCAAATACAAATGATTGGTAGCAGCAATAGTAAGATTTATATATACTTGGCTTCATACAGACACCAACAAAATCTAAGCAAGACATTGCACAATCACATTTTGTTCTCTCTTTTTCTTGGGGTGGTTACAACCACTTCAAATAAATAGTTCCATCTAGCTTCTTTTTTCTTTTTCTTTTTTGTTGATAAATATACAAACTTTAATAGAAAAGCATAAATAGTTCCATCTAGCTTGAATCAAGGCAAAGCAAGCTCTCACCTGAACAATATTCGCATGTCAGCAGAGCATTTTAGACATGAGAAAACACAAAAGCACAAGTTTTCATTTACGTAAACCCATGTCGTGGACATGCAGGATTCTAGCATAGGCTAGGGTATATCGTCCAAAATGCTCAATTACTTATTTTATGTATTTCATTTTCAAAACCAATGCGCAAGTCTTGGTAGAAATCTCAAATTCTAATAAAATTCTGTTGTACCTTTTTAATAAATAAAATTGTGATAAAAATCTGTACCACCAATCAATGAATTGTATTGAACAATATAGTCCTGCCCAGATCGAGTTTCCTTATTATGTTCAAAATAAAGACTTAAGCTACAAACCCAAGAAAACAAAGAAAGCTAACCTATCCATTATGCTTCATGGCTTTAAAGTCACTAGTAAGTTATACCAACTATACCAAACCAAATGGCCATATGAATATCTAAATTGGAACATCGTAGAGAAACCCAAAGGAAAAAGAAAGAAAAAAAAAAAATCCAAAATGATTGTATATAATTTGGCAATTTGAAACATGATTATAAACTGGATATGGACACAAGTGGAAGAAAAGGGAAACAATAATCTAACCATTGTCATTGAGTAGTGTAACCTCGTAATCATAACCAACAAGGGCACTCAGAGTTGAAGCAGGCATCATGAATAAGTGGAACCAATGTCAACCTCAGAAAAGGAAATATGTCCCCCTGCGCACAACAATATGGTAATGCATAAACAAAATATGTACACAGGTAGATCTGTACATATATTTATATACCTATAAATAATTACCCAGATGGAAAGATATTGGCACACTGCTACAAGCCTCAATCACATTAAAAAATAATAAAGGATTCAATGCAGCAATGTGGAACTTCAAATCCCATTGATCAGAGTCAACATAGAAGACACAAACTTGCTTACAGATAACAAAATGAGATAATTCAATAATGAGAGTCAAAACAAGAAGAAAGTACAGGGCAATTGTATGTTGAGTTGGTATCAAATAAGACATCCTTAACTGGTCCACACTCATCCACATACCCATATCCTAATTACTATGCAAGAGCCAACTTTTCCACATAGAATTTCAATAGCTCAGGAGCTTGTTCCGAGTGATACATCAAAACCTTCTTTAGGAACAACTTTTCAGTATACTTCAGCATAGTCGACAAGCTAATATTGTTGTTCTTCATCAAACCTTTCGACAACAAAACATGGTAAACTGCAGACCTTGGAAGAATCCTCTTCTCTAAGCTCAGTGATATAAGGCCTGGCCTTCTTGCAACAAATGAAGACTCCCAACCCATTTTATTGACAAAAAAGTCCATCACACCCATGATCTTATGCTCGGACACCGTCATACACCATGGATGCTTCCCAAAAGCCACAAGAATCTCATCCTCAGACCAACCCCACTTCTTATAAACCTCAACCTTCTTCTCCCACGTCGATTTACTCATTGACCTCAACGCATGAAATGCTAACACAAAATTCAATGAAGAAGGATTAAAACCCATTTTCTCTACCTCTTCCACAATCTGTCTAAAGTTATCACTGCTGGCCAAGAATGCTCGAGGAGTGCACTTTAACATGAACGAAATATTCACAATTGGCACACCGACTTGTCGCATAGTTTCAACATTGGGTACCACACAAGCTTGAAGATCAACCAAAAGAAGCCTCACGTAGCGTTTAATAGCGGATACTGTTTCCTTTTCGGATTGAATCAAATTTTTGTAGAAATTGAACGATGGGATGATTTGGCTTTCCAAGCTAGTTAGCAGAACAGTGGGCGTGGAAGATAGTATCTTGGCAACAGCTTTGCTTGAAACGCCTTTAGATTTGAAAAACTCGAGTTTGGGCAAAAGGGTTTTCTCAGGATCGCATACAATTACCTGAGGAAGTTTCAAGACGAGATTGGAGATCTGGGTTTTGGAGAAGCCTTGGTTCTTGAAGAACGCGAGGACTGAGTCAGGCTGTTCTGGAGTTTCAAAATAGACATACTTGGATGCTGAGAGAGCCTTTTTAAGAGGAAACCCACACGATTTTATGAAGTAATTCACTGCGAATGAGTGTTGATTTGAAGGAATGTATTTGATTTTGATTGATGATGATGATGAAAAGGGGTAGATTTGAAGAAAATAGAGATTGTGGTGTGGGGTTGGTGAAGAAGCTCTAACAACAGAAGATCTCAAATGGTGTAAAATTTTGCAGATTAAACTAGACATTGATTGAAATTTTAGCCAAATTGAGGAGAATGACTTACCTGTTCATAAGAAATCTTTACAGTTTTGAATCTTTTTTAGCCCTAAAACCCTTTTCTTCCATGAACCCAAAACCCCATCTAGATGTCTCACGAGCCTTCTTTCCGAACAATCATACACTGCTCCGTTCAAAAACAAAACAAAACAAAACAAAAGCTCATATTTACACTGCAATAATTTCAATTTCTCACAGATTTTAGCACATCTCCATGGTGTATCAAATTTTTCATTAAACTCATTTTATATGATATCAAATATTCTAGGGGAGATTTTTGAAATTTCATTAGAACACCGGTCCATGGATGGATGTCTGGCCAATCGATCGTGCAAATTTTTATCTTGAAGTGATCATCTGGGGGTTGATCGGGTAGACGATTGGGAGTTGACCAGTTAGTATAATTTTTTTACAAATTTTTTCATGAAGTGGTCATCTAGGGACATTCGGAGGGACATCTATGGATATTTGGTAGTGAAAATCAAACAGTTATGAACAATGATTTGATGAAAGACATATTGATTCTTAATTTGATGAAAAAAAAGTAAAATTCTTAATTTGGTACCTATTTAATGAAACAACTTAAGTAGAAAACTAAATTCAAATGACAAGTCTGAATAACCATTGAAGATGATCTTATTTTGATATTTATGTGAAGTGAGTTTATTTATTTATTTATATTTTTTATAATGGTATGGTGCAAATTACGGAGGTATTTTGAAAAATTTAGAAATATATATAAAAGTTTATTTGGCAAAAAAATCTTAGGATATTATGTTCTCTTTATATGTAGTAATAGTGATTATGCTTATGCAATTTAAATAAATAAAAAGAAAATAAAAAATTTATTATATATTGTCTGTTTATTAAAGTGATAAATAGTTTTTTTTTCTTTTTTAACTTTACTTAGGTCTTAAGTTCGAATTTTATTATCTTCTCTATTTAAAATAAATAAAAATAAATATATATTTTAATAATAAAAAAATTCATACACAAACACATTATATATATATATATAAAATTTGTAACCTCATTAAGAAACTTTTAAATGGATTTATTTAATTATTTATTATAAGATTTTTTTGAACATATCACTATCAATGCCTTTTAATAAAAATCTAAATTAAATTTGAAAAACAACCCTTGCAGAATGGACTTTTCAAAAAATTATGAGGAGCTGATTTCAGTTTGGGGGGAATTTTATCCACACAAAGAGTATGGAATGGACTTTTCAAAAAATTATGAGGAGCTGATTTCAGTTTGGGGGGAATTTTATCCACACAAAGAGTATGAAATTAACAAAAATTTCAACTAACAAAAGACAATTACATAAAAACTCACTCTCGCTAACAAAAAACAATAACATTAAACTCTCAGCTAACAAAAAGCAATTACATAAAGTGGGTGTTTGGGAAGTGAATTTTTTTATAGATTTTTTTAGTTACAGGATATTATTGGAGAAAAGAATTTTTATATTTGAAAAGATAATTAGATTTTTTTGTAATTGAAAGTGATATTTATGAGAGAAAAAATGAAATGATTATGAGATTTGATGTGATATTTTGTTTGGATTTATTTTTTAAATTTTGTAATCAATTTGTCTTTTAGTAGAAAAAAACAAAAAAAAACCAAAAAACCTCATTCCCAAACAGCGCCAAAAGCTCTCTCTCGCTAACAAAAAACAATAACATAAACTCTCTCTCTCTCTCTCTCCACACTGCACTTGTTGATTACCAATTAAAGAAGACATGAGGGTGAATGGTTTTCAAATAGTCTTCCATCATAGAATTATCAGGAAAATAGACTGCAATCAGCAGCATTATTGTTCCATAGAAGAAAATCCAAAAGCATGCCGGGATTCTTTTGAAGACTTCATATTCTCCCACTCTTCTACAATATTCAGCACTCCAAGCATCATCATCATCATCTTCCCTCAAATTTTAATGCTAAATATCTACTGGAAAAAGATAATAACGATGGCAATGATTAAATTAACTTCAATATTCACGATGAAATTTAACTTCAATAGTCACAACTCCACAAAAGATACAACTTACTAGAACATCATTCAACTTCCATTCCTCAACAGGCTCTAGTTTCCAAGATGTACAATCATGAATGATAGCTAAGTTGAGATACCCACCATTAAGATTTTTTACAGCAAATCACCAAACCATGGAAATCCGGATGTGCATCACACCATGCAAGTGCCAGAGCACAAACATATACTGCCATTATATTTTTCAAGGCTACTCTCACAGTGCTTCACTGAATGAATTTTCAAACCCAAGAAAGAAGGGCAACAAAATTCAAATTTAGTATGCATAAAGAAAGTATAAAACCAAAATCATCTAGCACAAATTGAACACAACTAGTTGGTCCCCACCAGCCACTTACATGGGGGTCTCATCGCAGATGCAAAGCTTGATTTTCTCAGCTCTTTAATCATCCAAACAAGTGATGAGAGATCTCTTTCATTCTCTCCATTTCTTTTCTCATCAAATCTCTCAATCCGTCTTTTCTTTCTAATCAAATCCCACAATCCAAACGGAGGGTTCATGTCACTATTAATAATACCAGGTATACCAAAACAAATGGCCAAATGAACATGTAAAATGAAATGCAAGAGGAAAAAAAATCCAAAAAAGTTATTCTATTATTTGTCAATTTGAAACTAGATTATAAATTGAATACAAAAACAATGGGAAAAATAATCTGATCATTGTTGCCAACAAGGAGTGTAATCAGGCAATTGTAACCAGAACAAGCACTCACAACTGGAGCAGCCATCATGAATAGGTGGAACCAATGTAAACCTTAAAAAAGTAAATAGGTTCCCTGTGTACAAACAATAGGGTAATGCATAAACTAAATCCATACATATGTACAGAGATATAGACATATTTACATATCTATATGTATATATACCGGAAGAACATATAATGGTACACTGCTTCAAGTTTCAACCACAGCAAAATGACAAAGAATTCAATGCAGCAATGTGGAACTTCAAATTAAAAAAAGAGAACTCAAACTTGCCTACAGATGACAATTTTTAATTGATGGCCTCCTTGTATTCAAAATGAGATAATTCAATAACCAGAGCTTAACTACAAGAAGCAAAAGAATAGGGCAACTGTATGTTGAGTCAGTATCAAAAGGAAGGCATCCGTAACCAGTCCACTCTCATCCTTGTACCCATATCCTAATTACTTTGCGACAGCCAATTTTTCCTTATACAATTTCAATAGCTCAGGAGCTTCTTCCTCATGACAGTTGACAACCTCCGTTAGGAAAACCCTTTCAGTATACTTCAGCATAGTTGACAAGCTAATATCATTGTTCTGAATCAAACCTTTCGACACAAAACTTGATAAATTGCACACCTTGGAACAATCCTCTTCTCGAAGCTCATTGAAATAAATCATGGACTTCTTGCAACAAGTGAAGACTCCCAACCCATTTTATTGACCAAAAAGTCCATCACTCTCATGATCTTATGCTCAGACGCTATCATACACCATGGATACTTCCCAAAAGACACAAGAATGTCATCCTCAGACAAACCCCACTTCCTATAAACCTCAACTTTCTTCCCCCAAGTTGATTTACTCATTGACTTGAATGCATGAACCGCTAACACAAAATTCAATTTCGAAGGATTAAAACCCATTTTCTTTACCTCATTCACAATCTTTCTAAACCTATCACTAGTCGAATTGAATGCTCTAGGCATGAACTTTAACATGAGCAAAATTTTTGCATCTGGCACATTGGCTTCTCTCAAAATTTCAACATTGGGCAATGCACAAGCTTGAAGATCAACTAAAAGAAGCTCACCATTGCGCTTAATAGCAGAGATCGTCTCCTCTTCGGATTGTATAAACTTTTAAAGAAATTGAAAGATGGTATCATTGGTTTTCCATGCTTTTTTTCAAAACAGCTGGAGCTGAAGATAGTATTTTGGCAACATCAGTGCTCGAAACACCTTTAGATTTGAAAAACTGGAATTTGGGCAAAAGGGTTTTCTCCGGATCACATAAGATTACTGGAGGATACTTCCTGACGAGATTTGAGATCTGGGTTTTGGTGAAGCCGTGGTTCTCCAGAAATGCGAGGACAGAGTCAGGTTTGTTTGGAGTTTCAAGTTCGACATAATTCGATGCGGAAAGAGCCTTTTCTAGAGGAAACCCACATGAGTTTATGAAGTAATTCACTGCGAATGAGTGTTGATTTGGAGTGGTTTCGGATGATGATGATGAAAATGGGTGGATTTGAATGAAATAGAGGTTATTGTAAGTTGATAAAGAAAGCTCTAACAGAAGATACATTGATTGAAATTTTAGCCCAAGGAATAGAGAATTACACGTGCAGTACAGGAAATCTTCACAATCTTGTAACTTTTCCCCCTAAAACCGTCTTCTTTCATGAACCCTACAGTTGTCCTTAGGTAAATTACACAGAGCACCCCGAAATTTGGCAAAAATACAAGTAGCCTTATAGTTTTAACATAATTATGTTAACTTTCTTTTAGTAATGTTAAATTAAGGGAGCCATTATTTTCACTCTACTTTACTTTAAATATATCCTTTTTTTGCCCTTATCTTATATAGTTAATATCCTTAAATTTTAATTTTTTCAAGAAATATATTTTGTGTGAAATGGTATTAATATAACTATGTATAATAATGATAAAAAAAAATATATTTAGAGCAGAGTAGAGTGAGAATAGTGGCTCCCTAAATTTATTGAAACTAATGCAAATAATGTGAAGATATAAAAATGAATGATAAAAAATATATATTTTATTGTAAAAGATATGATAACGCCATTGTCTCATACATATGATTAAAGTATTATTGATGAAAATAGATTAAAGTATTATGTGAATTAAAATTTTAAAAAACTTTAATGTAATTGTATCAAACTTGTAAAATTTGTTGTATTTTTTTTTCTTTTTCTCAAATTTCATAGAGATCAATGTAATTTACCCTTATTTTTATATACTTTACTCATTTTTTTTTTTTGTGATAATGTTGCTAATTTCTTATAAACCTATAAAATTATTTGAATATTTTTAAATATTTGTAAACTTATAAAATTTCACAACCAGTGTAACTAAAAGTTGATAATTTTCAAAAACAATTTCAAATTAATGATAAATTTCATCAATTTTAATAATTAAAATCACAAATTTTTCTATAAATTCATAAATACTTTGTAACGTTACCACTGATTTGAAATTTTTCTTTTTGAAAAATTACAGAAACTTATACAAAAGTCAATCTATTTCTCTACCACAATTTAAGAGCTTCTAGAAGGGGGAAAAAAAACAAAAAAAATTTGTTTGGTATGATTTCATACCATCAACATCAAGTAGATTAATACTAGTACAATGTGTTTTAAAAATGAAATTAGCAATGATTTTTTTAACAAAAGAAAGGATTAAATTTTTAAACCCTCACATAAACCATTAAATTTAGATTATTGAGCCTAGAGTTGATTGAAGAAATCCGATCAAAGAAGGGACCCTGAACCAAAGAATCAAGATGGTTGTGACAACCCTCACCTCTGATTAGTGCTAAACTGTGATTAAGCATGATAAGTAATTGATTAAGCAGAAATTCTGAACTGATTGCATGAGTATGTTGCTTAATTGCATTTCTATCTATTTGTCATTATATGATCTGTTCATGTTTGTTTTCGAATTGCGAATTGAAAGCCTTATCGGCGACCGATTCAGAAATTGGTTAGTGTTATATGCTAATTAGGATTTATGTGATTTTATGGTAGCTTTAATTAAAATTTGATTTGGAACGATTAAATTAGATTAAATAATGTTAAAACACATTAGTTTGAGTTATTTGCATTTTTGCCACTAGTGGGCATTTTAGGCCATTAATTGATTTTATATCATTTTGTTGCATCATCTCATCCATTTCCTAGACCAAAATCGAGAGAGAGAGGGAGATTAGGAGGAAACTTGAGTTCATCTAGATTTTGACTTGGAATTAGAAGGATTGAAGGATAATTGCAAAATTGAGCTAACACACTTGGAGTTCAAGACCTAAGGTAGAGAATTCGTCTTCTTAATTATGAATTTAAGTTGTTCATGCTTGATTTATGGAGAAATTAGTGTTTTGAGTCAAGGACTAGTTTAAAATGTTGATTTGAGAGTCCATTCGTGCATGCATGTACATACCTTGGAATTTTGAGGTTGTTTTCATGAAAATTCCTACATACAAGTTCATATTTTAGTTGTAGTCCAAGAATTCACCATGTTTTAAAGTTCAATCTTGCATTTGATCATGTTTTAGAGCATTAGAGTTCATAGGAACTCATGCATGTTATGTTCTTGCATTGTTCTTCAAGTTTCTTTGAAATTGTGTTCAATTGGCTTACCTTTGGGCTTGATTTCATAAATTGATCTTTGAAACATATTGTAGTATGGGTTTTTAAGTGTTTTCTGGAAAATTAGCCCAAACGAATCGAATTTGAAGCTTCAAAAGTTGAGTTTTATGCTTGAGAATCAATCTGGAAATTCTAGATTTTGGATCAACGCTCGAGCGGAGGACTTCACGCTCGAGCGTACCCTCTGAGTACATGCACTTCCGCTCAAGCGAATAAAGTCATGCTCGAGCGTGAAATGCATATGCCCAGAAGTTCATGTGTTTTGCAGTCCGCTCGAGCGAGGGTCTGAGTCTCACACTCGAGCGGAGGTCAAGCGTCCGTCGAGCGTGAATATCATGCAACCAGTACTTTTCATGAGTTTGCAACCCGCTCGAGCGAAGGAAGTCACGCTCGAGCGGAGCTTCATTGTCTGCATGTTCGCTCGAGCGTAGAAAGCCACGCTCGAGCGTGGACCCCTGTTTCAGCAAATTTTGAAAAGTGTTTTAAAGTGCATTTTTGCATCCTCATTTCATCCTAGGCATTCCTAGGTCAAGTTTAAGGCATCTTAATGAAGATAAAGTTATAGAACCACACCGAGTCAAGTTAAGGGGCTACGTTATTAATCCCAAGTGTGTAACTTAGTGTGTGTTCGTTCTGCAACTGTGTAGGGTTGGCACCCGAGGACGCTGACTAGCCTGTCTGTAGCCCAGTGCTCTGTGAGTAACAATGTTGTAAAGATACGTTCAATTATAATTATTTCTGAATAATTAACTGTACTGCTTTCTAAAATGACATTGCTTACTAAATGAATGTTTGTCCTATTTGTAAACTGTATTCGTGGCTTCCATAGCAACTTAATGTTACTGTAATGTTACTACTACTGCTACAGAGATCTCTGTCAGTTCCAACGTTTGGAACTACTACTGTTTACTGTTCTGGTGGCCATCAACTGACTGTTCGGTCTATTATGACCTACTGTACTGTTTTACTATTGGACGTACCACGTATTACTGTTATGATTTCTAAATGACTGATATGGCATGAAATATGATCCACTGATTGAATAACCGATTTACTAATGCAAATGACTGTTTTAATTAATGGAAGGACATTCATTCTTAACCTCTTTACGCATATGTTATTCACTGGGCTTTAGCTCACTGCTTATATTTGTATGTAGGTGTCCAGGCACCAGACCGGAGCTAGAAGCGTTGAGTTAAGCTCCCTTTTGTCAAGCCAACCACTGTGCCTCACTTCGAGGTTCCGAGTCCGTTCAAGCTAAGTCTGTTTTGGGATGTTCAGAATCACCCTTCTGTCTCTGTTTTGTACCGACTGAATAAGTTTCGACTGTACAGTTATGGTGAAGGGACTTGGTCCCTAACCTGGATGTTTGTGTATATGATGTATGTACATATGTTTTGGTTATGAATGTAGCTTGTTCATAAAAGCCTTTTTGCATTTAGATTTTCACAGCTCATTGGACATCTTTTTATTACTATTTGGCTTCCGCCAGCCCCTTACTCTGTATTACTGTCATTACTGTTAAGCAGAC